CACCCCCCCCCCCCCCCCCCCCCCCCCCGGACCATTTGCAGCCTGGTCCCAATGGGTGCCGCCCAGATTTTGGGCTCAGGCTTCTATTTTAGTGCTTCTTACACAATTTGGACACCGCGTGCTCAGCCTGCATCACCAGGGCACTCAGGCCATGGGTTTCCCCACCCTGGGGTGGGGGGGGGGAGGAATGAAGGAAGCCTTTTTAGCCCCCACCCTGCACGATCCTCCAAAAGATGTCACCGCGTCCCCTGTGACACCAGCCAGTCTGGATGCCCCCCCCCCCCCAATCCCTTCTCCCCCCCCTTCCCCTTTTTTTTCACACGAGCCCGAAGGGGGGGGGGGAAACCCACAGATCCCCGACCCTGCCAAGAAGGTGAGGAAAAACTCGGAGGAGGCGCCGGATTTGGGACGGGACGGATGGAAATGGGAACGTGTGTGTCACGCTGCCTCCTCTGGCCGCGCTCCCAGCCGCCCCCAACGCGCTTTAACCCACGCCAGCCGGGACGATCGCACCGAAGGCAACGGCGGGGACCCGGCGGGGCTCAGTTTGGGGAGAAATCCTGCTTTTTTTTTGTGCAGCGGTTCACACGGAGGTCAGCTATTTATCCTTCCCCGTTTTGGCTGGGGAGGGGGGTGGGAGGGGGGTGGGGAGAAGCAGCACGCAGGCGGGGTCGCGTCCGTCCCTCCTGGCCGGGCAGAGGAGGAGCGATCTGGTGTTGCAATTAATTCCTCCCTCGCCGGTGCCAGAATTGCAGCTGCGGAGCGGTTTTTATGCAGCTCATAACTCCTTTTAATGTACATCTGGCAGAATCCTCACATCCTGGGCTCGGCCCATCTGGGAGCCTCTTTTCCTCTCTCAATCTCCTATCCAGAGCCTGAATCCTCAGCGCTGAGCAGGAGGAGCTCCTTCCTCCCGTCTCCTCGCTAGGATTTAACCTCCCTTCGCCTGGGGCTCCCGTTTATTTTCCCCACAGAACCGCATTAAAACCCTTTTTTGCCCAATTTTTGGGGGGGGTTTCGCTCTGATCAACGCCTCCCAGGGAGAACCAGGCCTCACTGCTGACTTCATCCCCTCTTTTCCTCTCCTCAGCATCCCCCAATTCGCACCCTGTGCTGCACAGCAGAACCTCTTCCCCCCTTTCTCCCACCTCTCCCTGCAGCCCCACAGGTGGAAATCCGACCCGATCCCTCCCTGCTCCTTAAGGGTTAAAGAGGAATTTCTCCAGCTTTGTGCCTCGCTTGTTTCAAAAGCATCTGACTGCTTCGGATTTGCTTGACATCTCTCCCCTGTGGGTTTGTAGGTTTTTTTTTGCAGAGCAGTTTCGTGTGTGCTTTGAACCGTGCCAAATAACGGCGTTGCAACACTTGCCGAGAGTTTTGCTCGCAGGGTGGATCCCAGCCGGGTAAGGTTGGAGGAATGGGTTTATTTTTATCAGGGAAATGAATGGTAAAACACAGGCGTTCCCCTCTTCCCCCCCCCTCTCTCCTCACCTTCCTTTCTCCACCTATTTTGCCCCATTGAAAGCAATTGTGGATCCTCACCTCAGAGCAGCGATGCTGGGGGGGGGGAGCTGCAGCCCTCGACGTGCAGCGAGGCTCCCAAAAACCCCCATGGGCGCCCTGGGGTGCTTTGAATCCCCCGTGTGTGGGGTGCTTGCTTGTCTGCCACCCCTCAGCAAACCCCAGGGCTGCTCCCCACACGGCCTTGGTGAAGCTGTGGGGCAGCAGCACGCGGTGACTTTGCTTTCTGCTTTGACACCCGGCAGCAAAGCAGCGGTTGCCGGTTTCCTCCCGCACGTGCAGGGGAAAATTGAAGCTTCCCTCTGCTCCTCTCAGCAAAGCCTCTGCTCCTCGGCCACCACTTTGTGCTGCTTCTGGCAGAGCCGTCGGAGAGTCGGATTTTCCTTTGGCCTGGGCCGAAGCCAAGGAGGGCATGAGGAGGTAGGGAGGAAAACGGGCTGGGTTTTGGATAGCGAGCATCACTGCCTGCTCCCAGCACGCAGGCAGAGGCTCTGCAGCTCCCATCTGGGTCCCTCCAGGGTGTGAGAAGCCGTTTGCAGGGTGATGGCTGTGAGCTGGGAGCTGCATGCGAGGGGGGGGGGGGGGTTTCCTGCATTCAGGCCGGATGTTTTTCCCAATGCATGGAGGAAATGAGGGGCTGGGCTGCCACACCGGGCTCAGAAACGCAGATCTCTGCCACCCTCATCGTCCTCTGTGCTTTGTGAGCACCTGTGGGGAGCAGACGGAGCCTGCTGCGCCTTGGGCAAAACGTGGCACTGCAAGCAACCTCATCTGTGCTCTGTTTCGGGGTGATTTCCTGCCTGTTTGGTGTCACCTTGCTGTTCCCCAACCCCCATAACTCTAACCCTCACCCCAAGCACTTCAACCATTCCTCCCTGTTCCCTTCCATAGGCTGCTGAAACGCCACGTGTGCCACAAGCAGAGGCACCCGACCTGCGCCGAGGGGACGTCAGCTGAGCCCCCCCACCCAAAAGGTGCCAGCGACCCCCTGGAGATGTGAGCAGTGAGTACCTGGCCACGCTGGCAGTGCAGTTTGAGCTCCTCTGCACGACACCCATTAAAAATTCCCATTAAGTCACATCAGCTCCCTGCTGTGATTCACCGCCGTCCGGCCCGATGAAGGCGGATGGAGCAGGGGGGGGGGGGTTGGGGAGGAGAGAAAAATCAACCAACAAATTCCCCATCAAACTGCTTCTGAAAGAGGCAGGAAGAGGAGGAAGGCAGCGTCTGGCACTTGTAGGCAAATGGCAGCAAAGAGGCCCCAGGCCATAAAGCGGCTCCGGCTGCCCTGGCTGAAAGGCTGGCAGCGCTTTGAAGTCAGCTGGGTGTGAGATGCATCTCCCGCAGGTTCCGCGTCTGTTCGGCACCCGGGGAGGCGTGAAGCCTCAGCCCCGGGGGATTCCCCGAAGGATTCGCTCCTTCTGCGCCTCCTTGGGGGAGTTTTGGCACTTTGGCTTTCGGTTCAGACGGGTTGGGAAGGGATGCCGGCACCGGGCGGCTCGGCAGCTCTACCTGCCCCCCTCGTCCTGCTGCCAAAATCGGGGCTGAGCGCTGCAGCAGAGCGGGGAGCAGCTTCCTTCCTCCTGC